GGTCACAGTTATGAACAGTTAATAAATAAAAACAGAGGCAAAAAGATTATCGTATTATTATTAAACCATCAGGTAATGGTATCTTTCAAATTACATCATGTTTCATTTGTTGTCATTCAATCAATGCTAAAAGGTGTTCGAATAGTTACCATGTAAGAATAAATTAAAGCATTTTCTAGAGACAAAATTTAAATCAGGCGATCACGACTAACTACAAGTAAAGGCAAAGCCACAAAGTGGATACCTCAGCCCTGAAAATTTGCGACGGTTACTATTTTAAAACTCGAAACCTTCCACTTTTGGAATTTTTTGTAGTGCACTGATCTGGTCATCTCATTGTCCTGGAGTCCCGGAAAAGCTGTAAACTTTGTTGGCAGCTGACCAACTTCGGATGGATTGTGGGTTAAACTCAAAGCTTCCTTGAATTAAACCCCTGAATGTTAGCAAAAGTAACAAAATACTAAAAAACGTTAGCAACATTTAAAGCCCTTTTTCTTATACATGCATAAGATACTCGTGACTGCAGTTACGAGTATCTTATTTAAGAAATTTTGTATTCGTCTTCGAACTATATAGAGGTCGTGGTTAATATCGTGGTTTTATGATTGACACTGTTCCACGAGTAACATCGTACGATTTGGGTCAGCTCCAAATAATATTAATGGAGTATAATTTAGGCAAAAAAGAAAGAAAAAAGCACAATATTTACTACCCTGCTCATATGCGACAAATTTTCTGTTTAACTTTCACGTTAAATTGTCGAACGAATTAAAAAGGGTAACCATGTCAAAATTAGAAAAAATAGAAAAATTTGATTCTTGATTCTTTAACGCAAAATAATTAATTTGAAATTAAAATTTATAATATACAGTGGACACCTGAAGTTGAATATTTGTCATTATCATACATAGATCACTCCACATTCTTACCCAAACAAAAATGTTACCACCTAATTTGAATTTGATGCAAAAGCCAAAAACGTTTTTTCAAGCTCTCTAATTTGATTTTGTTCCATATCCAATACTTAATGCTTACTTTATCAAGCACTAACAGATGTTTATTGTTTGTCGCCAATCTACTTTAAGTTCATACCAAAGATCAAATTTTTAAAGCTTTTCTTTGTTAGTGCGCATAGCGAAGTTTTTTATAAAAATTGACAATGACTAGTGTATGTCTTGATCCAAGCTTGTACAGCGTCCTGAACGGCAGATTTCATGGTGATCTGAACAAATTCCAACTGCTTCGATTTCATTTCAAGAAATTCCCCTGCACCTTGAAAACCTAATTTTGCGATCGAATATTAAACAATTCTTTAACTCTTTCACTTCCCACATCAAATTTAAAGTTTATTTTACAAAGATGCTGATATCCTGGTACGCACAAAATATCTACTTTGGCAATATTTTCAGCTAAATTTCTATTTGATCTTCACAGTTTGAAGCTTTCGCTTTCGAATATTCATCCTGTTTATTTCAATATAATTTTTTCTCAAGAAATAATATTTAGACATTAAACGGAGAATTGTTTGCTGCTCACTAATGTCATGAGTCTGATAAAAATAAGAATTTTGACGCGCCTAATTGTGATTCATTAGAATCTCATGATATCATGATCTCAGTTTAAGGACCTGAGTCAGAGCCTAGAGGTTCACTGGGACCGGGGGAGAGAAAGCCTTGTGCAAAATGATCTAACACTGTGGGTGGATATCTTCATAGCTATTGTGAATAACGTAATTCTTGTATAATAGCTGTGCAACTGTAAAGTGTCTGATGGAGGGTGAGGGGGTCTAAAACGGCTGAAAGTTGGATTACCTTATCGGACCTTATTTGGACGGACATTAAATGAACGGACATAATTATGAACGGAGGCATTCAAAGCCATCAAAAATCCGAATTTCCATTCAGAAGAGCAGTCGTTAAGCAGTAAAAAATGTTAAAATATGTGTACATGATGATGATCAGTGTCTAATATCACATATCATCTTCATCAAATGGGTTTTCGTGCATGAAATAGTCCATGCTTAAAGCATCAGTAATTTCTAGCTTTATGGAAACATTTTTTTATCAAACTACCCCGGTCCTGAATTTCAGTGTTAACTTTTACAAGCCATTCGGCGTGAAGTGGTTTTATCTTATACAACTTTAGGTTAACCTTAACATCACGTGGAGCTTTCCTAGCACTGTTTCATTACCTCCCCTGAGTAATATGAACTATGTCTATAACACCGTCGGATACCGATAATGTCCTTGGCAACACGATTTACCGTAATATCTAGAGGCTGGAACAAGTTTGTCATGTTGGCGGGGACTATACTATGTTGTTGAGTGCCATAATTTCGTTGACTTTTTCCGCCAAATGACCCTTGAAAACATCATATACTAGTAAAGTTTTCTATGCCTCCGGCAGACCAAGGAGAACCTTTCCGTCGTTAACTTACGGTACAATAAAGTTCTTATAGTTGTCATATTCTGGACAAAAATTTCGAAGTGGAAAAATTTTGTATCACGTTGCGACCCCCACGGTCGTTTCACTATGGTACAGGGGGAGCCGCGCACTCGTGCGCGGCGGGTCATACAACGTATGACAAGGTATGACTTAGAGTTAGTTACACCACTGGTTCGAGGAAGTTGTCAACTCGAAAAATATTCGCGTTCATTTTTTTCAAATGGAGGTTCATTTTCACATTTATTTGATAGTTTGGATAGTCGGATCAAGCTAAATGTTATTGAATTGTGTTTGGCCATTAGAATTACGTTTGTCCTGAAAGAATTAGAACTGTAGCTTCTCAGATGACCGAGATATGAAGCATAACGAGTTTATTCATTACGTATGATCAGGTGATTGGTTTACCTAATCACGCGCACGTGATAAAGTGACCCCGTTAACTACCCCGTTAAACATTATGGGAATTGTTAAGGGTGCCCAATTAAGGTGTCGTGTCACGGTGTCACATAATCACCCAGTCAATTTTGTTAACGAGATACACAAAATGCTTGATAACTTCGTCATTTCTAATCCGTTTTGCCTCATGTTTTCAGATCATATGCAAAATTTGATAATCTACCGTCTCTGAAAAAATTAGGCGTTCAGCATGTTAAGAGAAAACAATATAGGTGTTTTAATATTGAATGGGCGTGGTCTAAAATATTCGAATTTTCAAATTTTGACGACGGAATCCTCGAACCAGTAAGTACAGTATGCCATCTGCAAAGCAACAGCTCTCAAATATAAAACACGGCGGAGGTATAAGACCCAACGTTTGCACACTGACTTATGGCCCACCCTGTATTATTATTTCAATCGTCCAAAAGACTTATATCACTTGAGTTGGGTTTATACGATTTTGCAGCCAAACAAAACGGTTTCACAATATAAACACTTATTCCCAACCATTCATAACCCGGCCGGGGCTAGCCATGACTCTGACCACAATCCTAGCCCTGCTGTAAATCATAAACTTCTCCAACTTGATCAGGATCCTTTTCTAACCGTGGCTTAAGTGTCCCTTTAGTGTCCACCGACAGATTCTCAGATTATACCGAATTGCCCGGATCAGCTGGGTGGCTCGTGGGCGGCTTTAGCTCCCCACGGGGAGTTCGGGCGATTAAATCCAGGGGTTTGGGGCGGCCCGGCCCCCTATCGGAGAACCTGGCCTACTGCCAATAATTATACATACTAAATATAACAAGAAACCCAGTAGTCGTGATAGTTGTCTTTAACTTAAATATTTTAGACTGAATCCAATTTTCATAAATATTGTAAAATTGTTATCACTCATCACTTTAATTAAAACTTTAAAAGGATCATAGTTGTTTGAAGCAGCCCGATATATGAAAACGATCTGATTATATAGGTCTATTATGTCATATCAGACAATATTACAATTGAAAGTAGTAATGAAAACAATGTATCTCGAGGCGACCCTTTGAATAGCGGGTATATATGAGTAGCGTGTATACATGAGTAATGATTAGAAATACAATTCTTAAAACTCAAATACACAAATAGTCCCTTGTGCTAAAGACATGACTAAGGTCTAAGAAACGTATGTTTGTTGAATAAATTATTTTTAGTGCGGTGTCTTTATCTTATAAAGGGAGATTCATACCAAGTTTCAAATAAAATTCGACGAAAATCTTGTTTCTTGCATAATGTTATAAGCTTAATTGTACTCATTCCCCGAGAATATCGAAATTTCAAACCTGTTTTTGAAATTAAATTATTGGCGATGGAAAATATTTACGAATCAAATCGGTGTTTCATTGAAAATAAAAGACTTCTCTGCTTTTAGATCGGTAAAACAATACGACTAACATGGTTATTTTTTGGTACAGCTCTTTTGGCTTCGTCACCATCACTTTTGAAAATGTCTAAAAGGTAGTGTAAGGATCGCTTAAAGGGTTCAAGTTCTCCCTCTAGTAGAAAGTATCTACAATGAAAAATATGTCTGATTTCTCCAATAGCTACTTTTCCTCTGGAACTTTAGCTCCTGAAAGGTTTTGATCACTGACAATGAAAGTCTTGACATAAATTGTTGTCAAATTTATTCGAATCTCTACGCAAATTTGAACTTCATATTTTTATTAGAAAGGGGTTACCTATGTAATATGACTTATGAGTCTGACGCTGTGTGGGTAATTGGAAAATAGATTGCGTTTGCTTCTCGTCTGTAATATGTAGCCCATGTGGTACTAAATTCCGGATTGTCACATATTTCTGAGGACGCAGCAACTTCTAAAATCATTTTTCCATTGCAGTATACTTTTATTGTTTTGCCACGCTTAGCGATCATCCAGGTCCTTTCCTGATCTTCAGGCAAACTTACTGGGAAACTTGTGTAGTACCGCATACACTCCCCTAATAGATATCTAACCGAATTGGTGGATACAAACCAGATATAGAACGATCCAGCCTGGTATAGGTCTGTATCATAAAACCATATCTTAATTGTCTGTCTATTTCCCACAGAACTACTAGAATTAGTTGTCTTATGCAGATACCTACGAAGTTTCCAAGTTAGCACTGAGGTATTTTTCTCGTATCACGGGACTCCAGGTATCATACTCTGAAATACAGATTGTTATTAAGAAGTGAACTTTCTAAGCTCTCACAAAAAGTTAGACTCCAAATTAAGCCCCTTATCTTGGATGTGAAATGTAAGAGAGTCAGTAACTTCGCTAATTCAGTCAGTAATACAGTAGTCATTCATTAAATTCCTTAATAATTAAATTAGATCTGGAAGTGTTAATACTTCAACAATACTTGTTTTTCTTTGTAACAACCTCAACCATTGAAAAGATATGATGGTCCATAAAGTTCCGAATTATATATTTCATACGATCCTTGCCGACTATTTTATTCAGTAAATTTCTTATTCGGTACAGAATCTACTAATCTAATTTCATATTAGAATTTCAGTAATCAATTCACCAACTCCCTGGCACTGAAGAAATACATCTTTACTGTGCTCACAGTTGTGAGACCATGAATACGAACATGAGCTCCATTCACCACTGTTACAAGACACATCATCCATAACAATGGGTCGATCATCTTGAATTTTCCATCTGTCACCAGAAGTCCAACTAATTTGACCACTGTACCCCATCCTACGACAAATAGTATTGGCAGAGTTGTTGCTGAAATTGTCGTTGCAAACTGTTCCCTCATTGACTATCAGTAACCCTCGTACTCCCACACCAACACTTCTGCCTTTCCAATCTATCAGACTAAAATCTGCATCAGGTGTTGTTACTGTAAATGTTACAAATGTTGATAATACTTCAAGTCTGCAACTGATAATTTGATAATTAATTACCTTACCCCACTGCTGGATATTTAGTTGGATTTTTCGTTACAATCGATTAATGAACATCTGAATAAATAATAAGCATGATTTCTGATAGCCCCTACACTAGCACAATTTGCTTGTGCCACATCTAATCTTTTGTCCGGTGAACTAGAGATTTGATATCCAGTGATCTGGTGTTTAGTGAACTGTTGTCTATAAGTGATTTGATATCAAGCTTGATTGCAAGGCGTCAGTCTCACACAGCTAATCTAATGGAAGCATATAATTATATGTGAACTTTGCATTAATATTATATCAGTCAGCTTTTTGGTTAATTGCCAGAGTATTTGAGTACGAAATTTTACAAACCATCGTACAACAAGCCGAGCACAATGTGCATGGCGGTCCAGTGGTGTGATCGAGATATCATAAGTGTAAGATTAGGAGTTCGAGTCGGCACATGCTGCAGCGCGGAGTCCTACTCCTAAAGCGTGCTGGTGGTCTATTGGCAGCATATTTCGCTCCAGCTCATTGCCAAGTGCTTACCGATACTGCAATATATATGACAAATTATACGTACAAAAATAACGCAACGTCCTGTCCAATACCATGAGCTTCGTAATGACTTAATAAGGGGCAGGTTCGGATAAATCACTACAACTAGGGATGTAAGGCAGTCTATCTTCGTAGGGTCACTCCCCAGCTCAACTGCTGATATGGAATTAGTGGTACCAGATAGATATCCCCTGTGAAAATGGGATATAGGAAGAACCTCTAGGCCTCAGCAGGAATCTGATCAACTAATAATCGCTTGCTTGTAAGAGTCAAATCGGTAGGTGTTGCAAGGAAACAAAAGATAAAGAAAAACCCACAATAAAAGCGTAATCCAGATCGATGCAATGATACAAAATATATACTTTTCTGGTATAGCTCATCCTACTTTCCATCTCCGTGAACATGCATAATGCATATACAAATTGTATATCACTATGGCTTCTTCATAAATATTTGCAAAATATATCTTCGTGGAGTACCTTATAAGCTTATATAACTATTTATCCATGTTAACAGTTAATTTCTACTTACATGAACACTTTGGCTCAGTCACATAATAGTACTGCGTATCTTGTTGACATGTGATCTCACTGTCCCCAAATTGAAGATATCCATCCTCACATCCGAGAAAAACTTTTGTTCCATTGAGTACTGGAAATTCATTGCTTGCCACCATGTTACTCCATTTAGTATCTAGTCCAGTACATTTTGGAACCAAAGTTCCTGAACAAGTATTGATCAATGAAAGTCCTGGCATCAATAATTGTGATATTTACTCAAGTCCCTACGCAAATTTTAACATCATATTTTTTATCAGAAAGGGGTTACCTACGTAATATGAGTCTGACGCTGTGTGGGTCATTGGGAAATATATTGTGTTTGCTTCTCGTCCGTAATATGTAGCCCATGTGGTACTAAATTCTGGATTGTCACATATTTCTGAGGAAGCAGCGACTTCTAAAACTTTGCTTCCATTGCAGTATACTTTTATCGTGTTGCCACGCCTACTGATCATCCAGGTCCTTTCCTGATCTGCAGGCAAACTTACTGGGAAACTTTTGTAGTACCGCATACACTCCCCTAATAGATATCTAACCGAATTTGTGGATACAAACCAGATATAGAACGATCCAGCCTGGTATAGGTCTGTATCATAAAACCATATCTTAATCCTCCCTTCATTTCCCACAGAACTACTCAAATTAGTTGTCATATGCAGATGCGAAGTTTCAAAGTTAGCACTGAGATATTTTTCTCGTATCACGGGACTCCAGGTATCATACTCTGAAATATGGATTGTTACTAAGAACTAAGAAGAGAACTTTCTTAGCTCTCAAAAATAATAAGAAGCAGATCTGATAGTGAAAATACTCCAATAAGAAGCCTAATACTTGTTTTTCTTTGTAGTGACCTCAACTATTGAAAAATGAAAAGAATCATATATTAGTATATTCAAGTTTCGAATTATATATTTCAGAATATATGTTTTATATATATATATTTATACTACAGGGTGGGCCAAAAGTCAGTGTGCAAACGTTGGCCTTAATAGCTCAGTCACTGAGTGCCCAATTGAAATACTGGTATGACTTAGTACCACCACCATGGTTCGAGGAATTTGTCAACTCGAAAAATATTCGCGTTCATTTTTTTCAAATGGAGGTTTTCACATTTTTTTGATAGTTTGGATAATCGGATCAAGCTAAATGTTATTGAATTGTGTTTGGCCATTCGAATTACGTTTGCCCTGAAAGAATGAGAGTTCTATAGCTTCTCAGATGACCGAGATATGAAGCATAACAAGCTTGTTCATTACGTGTGATCAGGTGATTGGTTTACCTAATCACGTGATAAGGTGACCCCGTTAACTACCCCGTTAAACATTATGGGAATTGTTAAGGGTGCCCAATTAAGGTGTCGTGTCACGGTGTCACATAATCACCCAGTCAATTTGTTAACGAGATACACAAAATGCTTGTTAACTTAGTCATTTCTAATCCGTTTTGCCTCATTTTTTCAGATCATATGCAACATTTGATAATCTACCGTCTCTAAAAATTTGATTTTCAGAGAAAACAATATAGGTGTTTTAATATTGAATGGGCGTGGTCTAAAATATTCGAATTTTCAAATTTTGACGACGGAATCCTCGAACCAGTAAGTACAGTATGCCATCTGCAAAGCAACAGCTCTCAAATATAAAACTCAGCGGAGGTATAAGACCCAACGTTTGCACACTGACTTTTGGCCCACCCTGTATATATACAGTAAAACCCAGATTTTCAGTATACATATATATTTCATACGATCCTTGCCGATTTTTATTCAGTAAATTTCTTATTCGGTACAGAATCTACTAATCTAATTTCATATTATAATTTCAGTAATCAACTCACCAACTCCCTGGCACTGAAGAAATACATCTTTACTGTGCTCACAGTTGTGAGACCATGCATACGAACATGAACTCCAGTCACCACTGTTACAAGACACATCATCCATAACAATGGGTCGATCATCTTGAATTTTCCATCTGTCACCAGAAGTCCAACTAATTTGACCACTGTACCCCATCCTACGACAAATAACATTGGCAGAGTTGTTGCTGAAATTGTCGTTGCAAACTGTTCCTTCATTGACTATCAGTAACCCTCGTACTCCCACACCAACACTTCTGCCTTTCCAATCTATCAGACTAAAATCTGCATGAAATTTGTCGTTACTGAAAGTGTCACAAATCATGCGAATACTTCAAGTCTGCAACTGATCATTTTATAATCAATCAATAAGAACAGGGGTTCATTATGCCTTTTTAATAGCGGACGTGCTACATGGTTCTGAATGGTAAAACCTGAGAAGGGGCAAAAAATGCTTCACAGTTCAAAGCCATCAGAGTACTTTAAACACTTTGTATAGTGACTTTGAACTTATAACACATCATTTGAGCTAGCCTGATGGTATTCAGAGGGCATTAATGTAATGTACTGTGAGCTGGTCCCAAGTCCAGACGATATCATTCGTTGTAACTTTTCATTATAATAACCTTTTCTAGTCATTGACTACTGATTAGTAATTACTCATGATTCAGAAATGAATTCTAATTTTATAATCCAGATTTTGAAGACAGGGAAGGCTCACTTTATTATTACGGAAGGTGATCAAAGGTACTTTTATCTGAGTTCAAACATTGATAGTCACTACACTATTGCAGTTGTATATTACCACAACGGAGAATATTAGCAAAAAGCAGTTTTATGTTCACTGCAACATATAAGAAAACTATAATCTAAAAGAGAATCACAAGATTGTGGACATGTTTGATCGAGTTCTCTGATCTACACAAATTGTCTTAAACTTTTGTAGAACATTATTCTTAAAGTTAATTAATTCACCTAGAACATTGACCACAACTCCGTGGGTAGATACAGGTGAGTTTGGGTACTGTGTTGATGTTACCGAGCATTTGTATGTGAATGTTGACTGGTTAGCAAAAGCAACAAGCTTGGTAGCCTTGATGGTGAGTTCTGCCACCTGTATGCCGGTTCCATCAACTGTACCGTTGCTGATATCGTAGTTCGTAATATCCAAGACAGATACAGTCGTACCATCAGGAGCCTTCCAGACTACATTAACAGGGGTTCCACCTACGTTTAGTTCTCCTACTGTACAGGTCAACGTCTGATCCTTACTTATAGTAGTCACTGACTTAGTCACTGACGCTACAACTGAAACATTTACATGTTAATAAACGATTAGCTGATGTCATAGTTAATCATTCAGTCTTTTAAAACCTTTGACGATGGGCGATGGCTATTATTGATTTAAATATCTCACCCTGGTCTAATGAAGAAAACTTAGTCAACGTTTTCAAGTTTATAAATGTTTTCTCTTTTTGAACTTAAACCGTGCTAATTAGAATAGTTCTAATAGTAATTTGATCCAATAGGGTACTTTTAATTACTTTGGAGGCTAGAGAGTGTCAACAAAAACAACAACAACAACACAGAATACTTACTAAAGACTTTCAAAGTAACTTCAGTTTTCTGGTCAGTTGAAGCATGTTCAGCAGAAGTGAAAACACACGAGTAAGTGACATCATCGTTGTTCTTATCAGCAGGAATAGTCAAAGTGGTAGTTTGAGAAGGTCCTACCAACGATCCCACATCGACGATGTATCCTTGGTTCAGAGTCGTCACATCAACATCCCCAGACGTCGTCCATTTTACGGCACTGAGTGCCTGTGTCAATCCCACAACAATACACGAAATCGTTGCTTCAGTTCCATCAAGCTGTTCCTTGTTCACAGCAGTTACCACTGAAATTAATATTTGGTTAGAATAACTTGACTCACCAAGTGTGCCAACATCTTATTGTCTAAGAGCAGCAATCATACACAATAATTTGACCCATTATCGGATAAATTGTTGTATAAAAATCCTTTAACTTCCTAGATTAGCAGTAGTATGGCAGATAAAACTGTCAACCTAGATATTTTACGCTCACCCAGTGTTAGAATGGTAGCTTTGACATTTATGTCTCCGGATGCAGGAGAATCTGTGTATTGGCCAGACTTGACTGAGCACTTGTAGGTCACTGATGATAGACTAGTAAAATCAGCCAGCTTAGCAGCTTTAAAGGGATCATGAAGTGTCCCCGACTTAATCGTCAAAACATTTCACATATACTATCACATAGAAACACTAATATAACAATAGGGCTCGGAATTCCCAGATTCGTAACTTAATTATGTCGCGTGAAATCGATACAGGAAGATCGCCCAAATGTGTTGGATTGTGGCTAACTGTCAGACACCGCAATAGAAACAGTGTTAAAACGCACATTTTTATTCATGTGCTGTGGCGCCAATTTAATTGATAAAATCTTCAAATTAGCGACACTTGATAGATTTGACTTTTATCTTTCGAAAATTGTGGTTGAATAATGTGCATAATATACACAAGCATCAAATAATTGTCTTATAAGTTTACGTACTGCTGTGTTATGTTGTAGGAAGAAAAACATTCAATTACCAAACACTAAATAACAATACACGTTTGTAAGAACCTATTACTTAAACTAACCTTAAATTATAAATAGTTTTTTTCTGGATACAAACATTTACTTGTTAACTTCATGGCAAAATATGTCCATCATCAGTTCCGATACTGATAAAACCCGTATATCTTGATCCATCTGTGTTTGGAAACTTTTCTCGGATCGCCGACACAACACATGATGGAAGTACGTATCGAACCTTTCTATCCAAATCTTGGGAGCTTATCAAACTCACAAATGATTTGTAGGCTAAATATCTCCACTTTTTTGGTTTTCAAATGTGCTTTTAGATAGTCTCCCCGTTTTACAGCATCATTGATGGTGAAACTAAACAGGTATCTTGAATATCTAAGCCCTTGTTCAGATAAGACCATATGAAAAACCAGAAAGCTTCTCCTACTACTGGTGTCTCTTCCCTCACGGTTGTTACAACCTCCGACTGCACAATGTCTTACCATCAACCATATTTTGATAAATTTTAACTAGTAAAGAGTTGTTGCAGTGATAATGGAATGAAGCTAAACTAATATATTTAGTAATGTCATAATTGCAAAGCTTGACCTACTATACTCTGAAAACACGTGCCGCAGTCGACAACAAACGCGAAAATTTGTAACAGCTCTGACTTAGTTATTAATTCTTTAATTGGAAGATAAGACTTTTATCTACGGGGTACAGACTACGGATACATATGTTAGGTTAGTGTCTACACATTACACGTTATTCAAGAAAGCACACATGTTCGCAAGCTTTAAAATACAAAGACCGTACAGAACGAAAGTAAACAAATTGAACACTGATCGTGCTACATTCAAATTCCATGAAGTGAGCTGTCTTTAATTGCTTGTAGGAACTACTAGATTAATCGCTGTACACCAAATTTAGGAAGATATGTGAAATATAATGGTTTATACCTGATGGTAATCTTGTCGGTTCAACAAAAAAACCAACAGAAAACTTGTTATGGACAATTAAAATCAGGCGTTTTTACACATGTCGTATATGCTATCCCGTCACCTAGCCACAACTTGGAAAAATGTAATTGATATACCCCATATTATCTCAGCTTGTGAAGCAATTACGACGGAGCTATTTTGGGATTGTGGCAGAATTACCAAGCCTAGCTCACTACCCAAGTTTCGAGTATATTTGAAGAATTCGCAAATTTACACTTCATGATCTCTTTAATGGTCAGTTCTGCTACCTGTTTTCCGCTTCCATCTACCGATCCTTGACTGGAACCATAGTTGGTGGTATCCCCTGTCAAAATTTTAGCACCATCATTATCCTTCCAAGTTACAGTAGCAGGGGTCCCACTAGGGTCGAGCCCTCCGATATTGCAAGTCAATGTCTGGTCTACAGCGGTGGTCAAATCCTTGGGAGTTGAGGCAACATCTGAAATATTTGGTTAGCAGGTAATGGTATTTACCATCGCGTCATAATTTGATTTTTATGACATGACCATCGAAAATGTGCTTTATTTCTGTAAATTTTCACAGTCTGATGACTGAATTAAGACCCAAGGTCAGCTAAAGAATTAGTGCTTGTGCCTAAATTTTGTTATCCAACATTTCTCCCGTTGCTTTTTGACTTCTAACAAAAATGGCATTTCTAATGAAAAAAAGTTATGTAAATATAGAAGTTAAAATGAAGGTCGAAGGGAAACATGAAAAGAAAGCAGTTCACAGAGTTCACCGTTGAACCTTTAATCAAACAGATGTCCTCATCACACTACTGACACACATAATATCCACTTATATGAAATGGAAAACTTACTAAATGTTTTCAAGATGACGACTATTGTTTTGTTTACTCGATCAATACTAGCAGATGTGATCAAACAATGATAAATCGTATCGCGGTTGTTTTGAGAACCAGGAACAGTCAGAATCGTGGTCTGAGAACCGTCAGCTGTGTTATCAAATCCACCATCATAAACAATGTTTTGACCAGAAGATATAGCTACTTTGTTAGAAGTCGTCCATTTCACACTATCCAGTTTTCTTGTCAGACCAGTAACAGTACAAGAAATCAACGCTCTTGTACCAGCCAGCTGTTCTTTATTGACCGCAGTCACAACTGAAATAGAACATGAAATTGCAATCTCTGCCATCGAATGTTCATTTTCTACGATCAAATTTCACGTAATCGTTGTTTTTCAGCTAAATTTTGCGTTTCCACTTTGCATATGACTTCGTTATTAATTATTTACAAGTTAGCCTAAATATATTGAGACTCTTCTTATAACCCTGAGAAGACATTCCTAAACAACTGCTTCCTCCATGTGCCGGAGAAGGATTCGAACATGTTCTGGTTCTTGTTTGTGTTCCTCCATCGCAAGATTTTGAGCAGGTTGACCATGAAGAATATGAGCTCCAACCTCCGTTAACTGAACACAATTTTTACAGCGGAAAATACATTTATTTTTCTTACAGGCCAACGATATTGTAAGGATTTGTGACAATAGACATAAATGGTCCCCAAAAACCACCGTTCAATATTCGGCGTTTTTGTTTCCTTTACCTGGACAATTGTTAGTGTGGCAGTTCTGACTCTCTGAAGATGATCCAGAACAACTGCTTCCTCCATGAGATGGAGAAGGGTTAGTACAAGTTCTGCTTCTTGTTTGGGTTCCTGTTCCACAAGATTTTGAGCAAGAAGACCATGAACTGTATGAACTCCAACCTCCGTTTACTGAATAGAATGTTTGGGTTAATAAATCACTATATCTTTCTAACAGTAACTGTCGTGTTTCAGCTGAACAATTTTGATTGAAAACTTCACTTAGAAAAGAAACAAACCGTTGATGACACAGCCCACTTTGAAGGGACTGGTTGTGCAAAAGATATCTAGGACAGGTTCAGCGCTTATATTTACCAAAAATGGGGTATGATCGATAAATTATTTAACAGAGCTACTATTTTATTAACAGATCCGATCTCGTTACAACAAATAAAAACTGATTGAATTACCTGGACAGCTTTGAGTGTTGCAACTCTGAGACTCCGAAGATGTTCCCGAACAACTAGCACCTCCGTGTGCAGGAGAAGGATTTGTACAAGTTCTGCTTCTTGATCTTGTTCCTGTTCCACAAGATCTTGAACAGGTAGACCATGAGCCGTATGAACTCCAACCTCCGTTAATTGCTGATCTGCTGTTTTCTGAACAATTTGTTGGGTCATTTTCTTTAAATATACATATCTTAAAATTTTTGTTATCGCTTTGGATTATCAACGAAAAAAAGGTTTTGCAATCTATTGATCACTCACTTGAAGAAATTATTCGATAATGTGTCACTGCATCATCAAAAAAGTAAAAGTCCTGTCCAAAATTGTTCCACTGATAATCAGATAAGCAGCTAAATGACCATGACCTGCTAAAACTTCCAACAAGAATCTCATCACAATACAAAAAAAGTTCACTTGAAGTCTTTTGCATTCTCCAAATTCTTTCATTGGAAGCTGGTACTGGGACATTCGATATTTGTTCTGTATTACACAAATTTTGAAATTGAAATGTTGAACTATAACTGTCAGTATTGAATTCCATGAGGCCGCCACCAAAATTTCTACCGTGGATATCAAACTGCCTAACTCCTGACACTTTCAGTTTCATCTCTAAGTCATATAAGTCAAAGTCAACATCAAAAGTACTGTGTCCGGAAACTGTTGTCCATGCCACTGCGAAGTGAAATCTAAAAACATTAACAAGTAAAACGATTACAATTCCTGTGCACTGCATTTCACGTCTTGTGTTTTCCTGAAAAAGATTATAAAACACTTTTTTTTAATTTTTGTGGCAGAGATGTAAGAAATTACAAAAGATTCACCTTATTTTTACTTTTTTGTTTGATGCTGCATATCCTAAAAATATCACATTGTTTTCAGTTTTGCTTTCATTTTTCATGCTGTTTTGAGACCAAGTAAGTTGTAGTTGTAAAGCGCATTATATTATTACCTGGTATGATTTTGAAGGCACTGTATTATTGAAAATTGATGAAATGCAGTTGTTTTCACGTAAAGTGAAGCAATTATATGTGCATATTTCACAATTTAAACTTTTTCGACATACACTATACACATTCTGATTGAATATTGATTATAATCAATTGAAAAATACAAAATGATAACCCTGTGTCAATGTCATGTGGGGTGATTCGGATTTAGCTTTCAAAAATACAATATGTTCATCGATTCAAGGTGGTTTCAACTGTCGGGTTTATTTGGCTTTTACTAAATCGCTCGCCCAAAAATTTCACGTGACTTTGGTTTTTTTGGTTTTGCAGCCGTACAAAACGGTTTGACATAAACCCTAATCCCAACCCTAACCCTAACCATAACCCCGAAGCTATCCATAATCTTAACCACAACCCTAACCCTAACCCGAGCCCTAAATAATCGAATACACGTTTTACTAGCCAAAAAGGGCCTTTTCACAAGAATTTTCTTAAAATTTGGGCGAGCGATTTAGTAGGAGCGACCAGTACCAACACGCAAGTTGCAACCCTTTAATGATAATATTAATAATAACTCACGTAATTCGTATCAGAATTACTTAAGAATTTCAGAAAATATAAA